AGAAAGAAGGACTAGAGTAAAAGAAAGGGAGATGAGGAAACCAAGAGGAGAGAGAGAACATGAGAGCAAAGCTCCCTCAGTATAGTGGGTGAGTTCTGCACTGCAGTCAATCTTAAAGAGGGGTTAACCATATGAGAAAGCCAAGGCTTTCTCACAAAGTGAGTATCACTAAACAAACACCAGCTCTCATCATACAGCACAGAAATCCTTCATTCTAAGCCCTACCTTCATTCACATCTGATACACAAAACTACAAATAATTAACATCTACTCTTTTAAGTCACAAAACTTTGGCTTGGTTTGTTGTAAGGAATAGGGAACTAAAGCAATTTTAGTCCAAATTAAAATTTCTCCGGGTGTTATACAAATGCTTTCCTTTAATTGGTATGTCTAAGCCATGATATAGATTATCTTACAATTCTAAACCATGACGAAAATGCTTTATATACATGATAATAAAAACTTCCCTGTTTTATTATATAATTCATTAAAGTTATATGATGATATAATAAGGTATAATATGATGGTATAATATGATAGAGTACTTCAGCACAGAGTGGTGATTTGGGCATATATTAATATCACTGTACCTACCACATAGGTGAAAAAAATGAGATCCAAAGAGAGTAATGACTTAGTAAAATCATACCTAATACTTAACTTCAGATCTTCAGATTTCTGGAAATGCTCTTTCCCTTGATCCAATCTTGGTTGTGCATTCAGAAACTTATACCACAGGTCACATTACTTTAGATGTGTTAGGATTGGAGCTATTGGTAAAGAAATTATTGTCCACTCCTCATCCTTCATTCTTTAGAGGCATTTATATCTCAAATGTACTATGTATCTCTGATACTTAGCCCCTCAAAAATCCTCTTAATATATCTCTCTCAAGGTACCAAAGACCACAGTGAGCTCTGATCTCTGCTCATGGCCTTCTTTTCACCACAATTTATTACCAGATACATTTTTCTTAAGTGAAACGTGACCATGTTCCCTGACTAGCAATACTTAACAATCTTCAAACTGATCATCACGGGGTGATGAATTCTTTTTAAAAATCTTATTCTTTCTGTGTTTCTGAGATTTGAGTCAGTACAATAATCTTCTGAATCATGAAAATGATGACCTTCCAATACAGAATTATCCCCAACCTGACTATAAGCACAACTCATGAGAACTCATGATGTTAAAATATGGCATGTAAATAAAAATTATTGAAATTCTTTCACTAATAAAGTTACATGATGATTGGTGATCATATAATTTGTGCATAGCCATGCACAAGTTAAAAATCTGTAATATAACATTTGATCTCATACCATCAAAATGTACCCCATGGTATATAACAAAAGGCAACAGTTCTATATTGAAGTACATTATATTGCAATATAATAAATAAGCTACTATTATAAACCCACTTTCAGAGATAATTTAGTTATATGATCACTGGATAGAGAATTCAATAATGTCCTAAAGTTAACTTTAAGTAAACAAAATCTTGTAGAGTTACAAAGTAATGCCTTTTAAATTGGCTTTTAAAGGCCAAAAAGAGCAGTGTTTGCCTTAAGGATTATGTTAGATTATCCTGAAACAGCAATTAAATCTTTGAGGATTGTAACACCATTTTTCTTTTTCAAAAAGGCATGAAGTTTTGAAAAGAAAAACCATGATTTTATGTATTAGATTGGCCCATGTCAAGTAGCCAAGGTTCAATTTTTTTGATACACAGAATTGTCAAATATTAACAATTTAAGTTCACAGATGTTAAGTATTTTATAACTTATCTGTTTCTATTTTTGTCATTTTATTAGTTTTCTGTGGCTGCAGATAATAAAGTATTAAAAAGTGTTTTAAAACAATGAGATTATATTCCTTCATAACTTTGGATCCTGCATGCTTAAATTAGAGTATTAACACACTGTTTCCTTCTTGAAAGTCCAAAGGGAAAGACACACCTCTTTCCGTCTTGGGCCCTGCTGTGATCAGACACGCTTGGCTATCATTGACTTGCAGGTCCCTCTGCCTCCACTAGCTTGTGGGATTCTTTGTACATGTCTTTGTGTTTCTGCATCTGAATCTCTTCTTTTATGAAAACATCAGTTATTGTACCACCCTGGCCTCATTTTAACTTGATTCTACCTGTAACGGCCATATTTCAAAATAAGGTCAGATTTACAGATGCTGTGGATTAGGACATAAATATGTATTTGAGATGTACAAATTAAGTCATAATAGTCATATTGAGAGGTATACGCCAAGCAATTTTGACCTAGTTTTTTAATATTATAATTATGAATAACATACATCACAGGGCTTCTGAAATAAATATATTTCCCTTTAAAAGGAATTTGCATGTTAAATGTAAAAAACCTTGCCCTAAAGCTCGATCCTGAGGTCTGTGCCTCATCCCATTAGATTCTCCGGAGCCTCACCATGCCTTCCCACTACTGTCCTCCACCGCCGTTTCCCTTATGTTTTACCCTTCTGTGTAAATGCAGCCTGCTTATAATTCCTCAACATGCAGCATCCTATTTCATGCTTCCTTGGTGTCAGTGATCCTGTTCTTCCTCCTGCAATATGCTTTAGTTTCAGTCTCCTCATGCCTCTACAGTATGCACTTGTCACTTGTGTTCAATGTCTCTACATAACTGTCATCTTTTCCTGACTCTTCTAAGATCCTCTATCCCACCACAGCACCATTCTTACCTTAGATGTAAGTGAAGTGGGGCTCAAAAAATAAACAAAAACCTACCATTCTCCCCCAGTATGATGACATCAGAAACAGTGTCCATCAAATGTCAATGTAGAAGGGACAGAGTTCCAGCCACAGTTTTACTTCCCCAGAGAAGTTCCAAGGTGCTGTATACATTCTAATTCATACTTCCACTAGATCAAGCATTGGTGACCCGCGTTGTGGGTTATATCGGAATCACGCCACCTAAACACTGGCAATCCCAGACAGTACCTCCTTGTAAACAAACTGTTTTGTTGTCCTTGCTATTTTCTTTATATACTCCTCGGTGAGGAAAATTGTAGGTTTGGGGTCTAGAAAGATCTGCTTAGCTTAAAAGTTTCAGCCTTTCTTTGTTGGAGTAGCCCATGAGCATGAGGAACCTAAGATGGGGAGCTGAAAAACCAGAACACATCCATATTTTTTAGATTTTGACAACCAAAATAAGGTTTTTTTACATTTCATATTGTACAAGATAGGGAGACCATGTTTTGTGAGAAAGGCACATTGAGTTTCATGGCAGCTTGAGAGATGATCCATACTTTCCAACCAATATGTCATATGCTAGCTTTCTAGGCTGAATAAAATGACAGTAGTGTTCTATATAATTTGTTCTTTCCCAGTGATAAATAAAGAGATATTAAGCTAAACATTTTACTCACTCAGATCTGGAAAGTGGTGTACTTACATATTAGCACGTTGTAGATTCTAATGATTTTTAATAATTTATAAAATATTATTAGATCACTTTTCTCTGTATTGAACTCTCTATACTGTTCTTATGTTTAGCTTGTCTTTTTCACAATAGTTTGAGGTAACTTTACATTTCCTCCATATATTTGTTAATTCAGATTTACTGTGCTCTGGATAAATAATCAGATTAGGCTCTTGTTTTCTAAAGCTATTTAAATTAGTTTAGCTATTATATAACTACTTTTGCCTATTTTAACTGAATTCCTGTGTTATGCTTAATAGTTATGTCATATTGCATTTGGAGTTAACTTTTCAAGTCTATTTTAAGTGAGGAATAATAACTTGTTGCATGAGGAAACAATGAATGAGATACGGAAATAGAAATAAAATTGAATATTAAAATAAGCCCCAGAAGGATGATTAGCATACTTAAGATAAATACAATATATATAGAATTTCCAAAAATATAAAAAATAAATAAAATACCAACAGAGATCTGGGATCCACATAATAAAGCCAGTGATATATTTGCTATTTAGAAGAGTCTAGTTCATATACTTCATACATTAAGTCATTGTGCACATGTGTGGTAGGAGGAGTGCAATGTTGCTTCTCTCAGGTCCCTTAAAAGGTCTCACTGCATGGCACATTTTATAGATAAGATCCCTTATGTTTTGATTTTTGGTTTTTTCAATTTGTATGTAGAAATCAAAGAATTGAGAATTTACTTCAGACATCACTCAAGTTTAGCTCTGATATTCTCAGTTAAACAAAAGCTATAAGCTAAATTATTTTAGTTTACCTGATGCTCAATTAAGAAAGTTTATCTTAGTGTTTGCATGCCCCTTAGTAGATAAAAATCTTATGACAACTCAAATTTATAATCTGAAAAATTCTGAAGCATTTTGTGCTCCTGTATAATTCTCTAAATCTCAGAAAAATTGTATGAAGCTATTACTTGTCCCAGAATATGAACTACCTTTTCATCATCTAAGCAAAAGACTCTTTTGTGTGTATTTTAGTCTCATTTACTTTTACTCATATTAAAAACAAATTACAAGGAAGAAAATCATGCCTAACTAAAGATCTGAGTAGATTTAGCAATATTTCATTTTTCAATTAATTTATCAAGATTTAATTATTAATTAGTATGGATAAATCAAATCTGACTTTAAGTCCATATATATTTCTTTTATTCTATACAGCCACTTCTTTCAGACATTTGAAAACTAAACTATTACTTAAATTAACTGATTTTATGTATTTTTAAAAAACATTCATGTACTTAAAAAATCATTAATGATTCCTCAATGTCTCAGAAATAATATGCATTAAATTTTGGTGAAAAATATTATTTATCAAAAATGTCGTTGGGATTTTTCATAAACTGACAACATCACCAAATAAGCATTATACAGATTCATTTAGATGTATGTATGTTTTTCGTTAATACGTCAAAATAACAAGACTTCTTCGTGATATATCATGTTGTATAATTGCCTTACTATTTTTATAAGTCTGTCAATTTATAATGGCATTTTTATGCTTGTCTGCTTTTCTTTCTCATACTCAGGTTCTTTCTTTGGGAGCAGATGTCTTGCCAGAATACAAGCTGCAGACGCCGCGCATCAACAAATTTACAATATTGCACTACAGCCCTTTCAAAGCAGTCTGGGATTGGCTTATTTTGCTATTAGTCATTTATACTGCTATATTCACCCCCTATTCTGCAGCCTTTCTCCTCAATGACAGAGAAGAACAGAAAAGGCGAGAATGTGGCTATTCCTGTAGCCCTTTGAATGTGGTAGACTTGATTGTGGACATTATGTTTATTATAGACATTCTAATAAACTTCAGAACAACCTATGTAAATCAGAATGAAGAAGTGGTAAGTGATCCTGCCAAAATAGCAATACACTACTTCAAAGGCTGGTTCCTGATTGACATGGTTGCAGCCATCCCTTTTGACTTGCTGATTTTTGGATCAGGTTCTGATGAGGTAAGAGCTGCTTAAGAATTTTATTTTCTGAAAGACTGCAATTGTAAAAGTAAATCTACATTAACTAGGAGAAAAAGTAGTTGCTTCAAAAGTTCCTACATCTCACAGATGAAATTCATTTTCACTTGGAAATGTTATAAAATGAAATGAAGACATTTTTCCTTTGCAAATAATTGAAATTCCTTCTATATTTGTTATGAGATGCAAAAATACTATGCTTGCTATAGCCAAAAACTGAATTTTTTAAACACACGTACAGAGCATGCAGCATACCACTAGTGAGCAAAATCCCTACAAATTAAGTTCTCGAGTGCAAAGATATCAAACATTAAGGATGTCTTTCATTCTTAAATCATTTATTGGGGTGTTGACCAGAGAGAGACTTGTTCTTTATTCAAACTATGAAAAAGAGGGCACCTGATGGAATGCCTTTATCAAAACTCCTTCACTTCTATCTCTCATTTCAGAAAATATTTAATACATATTGCTAATACCTTATATAGTTGGAAACCTGAAGGAAATATGACAAGTTTGTGTGCCTTGAGTACATTTTCTGAATAGAGGGTCCATAAAAATAATCAGATCTTCAACAGAATCTTTGGGACAGATTCAGTTAGTGTCCTTTTTATTCAATTATCACTAATTGTTATAGTATGTAAGTATTGATATAAGGAAAAGACTTACCGAAGGTTTGTGTCTTAGTTTCCTTTCTGGAGCTTTGATAAAATAGCTGGACAAAAACCAAATAAGAGGATCATGGGTTTATTTTAGCTCACGACGCAGGTTCTATTCTATCAGCGTGGGAAGGTCTAGACATTGGGAAGCTAGAGTACCAGTCAAAGCCATAGCCGAGAGCAGAGGGAGAATGCATCTTCACTGCTGAATTGCTCTTGCTATACTTGTACAATTCCAGACCCAAACCCAGAGAATGGTGCCACACACTTTAGGCTGGGTCTTCCTGCCTCAGTAAATACATTCAAGACAATTCCTCTACAGACACGTCACACGCCACTCAGAAAATCCCTCCTGAAAACTTTGTAGATTTTGTCAAGTTGACACTTTAACAATTAAAACTAATTGTCATGTCACGCACAAAAGTAACTCCAAGGAAGTTGACTGAAAAAAGAGAAACTCAATGTGCTGAATTTAAAAAAAAAAAAAATCAGTGTCCTTTTCTGCCTAAGATTTCCTCATCATCATCTTTGTTTGGCTTGTTAATTTGTATATTTCAAGAGAAAAAGAGATCTCAACAATAATTGCTTCCTAGCCATTGAAAGCTTCAGGACAACAGAATACTTGTCTGCCAGGGTGAATCAGTAATTTTAAAGTCAAGTCTCTATTTCTACTGAAAGGCTCATCAAACTGTAGGTTAGTTGGGCTCAGGATGATTGAATATGACAAAGTCCTAGCTCCCTTTCATCATCTGTAAAAGAATGCTAACAAAGTTGTCTTTTTGTCAATTTGATATTTTATTTGGTACTATAATGAAATAACACATATGAAATGAAAAAAAAAGTAGTTGTTAAAGATATTTTAATGATGATTCTTAATTTGGGTGGTAACTAAAAGACAAGAATATAAAACATTTTATCATTGATATTTATTTTTGAATTTCTTATAATGGGGGATACACACAATTATAATACACAAACTATTCCCGATGAACTGTAGAATAAAACTTCACTGTTTCAAAAGTGTGAATGTATATGTGTGTGTATGTATGTCTGTGTGTGAGTGTGTGCATTAACTATATATATATATATATATATATATATATATATATATATATATATATATATCTTTGGAAAATAAATGAATAGGCAACTGGATTATTAGGAGAAGTTAATGTATTTATGACATTCAATCAACAATGATCAAAATAGTGAATATTTAGAAATTCTAATTACAGCCATTAAGGTAGAATAAATGCTAGATTATTTTAATTTCAGTTACTACACATTTTGAAAAATGTAAATTCCTTTAAGATATGTAATTCAGATAATCAATACTACAAGACTCTGTTGAATAAGCTAAAGCAAGGGAAAGTTTAAGAGATTCACATCAGTGTATGATGAAATAGTATAAGGAAAAAGAGGGGGGAAAAGCAAGTGAAGAACTTGAAGCTTAGAGTGGGGAAATTAAAATTAAGAGATATGCAAATTTTTGGTTTAACGTATGTAAATTACCAGCAGAACACTGAGAAATTATTTAGGAAATGCAAAAGTTTGTTGTTGGAGACTCTTCTAGGTATCATAATGTCTACTGACCTCATTCTACTAAGAAGTAGCATTAAAATCTAATACTGTGTTTGCTGTAAATTTTAAGAAGTAGAATTAACTACAAAAAAATATTTTGTCTGATACCAGGCCTGGTAAATTAAGTTATTATTCCAGTTTTGTAGATTTGGCCATTAACTGGTTTCCTTGGTCCTATATTGTACATTATCCCTATTCAGTAGCAATATAATATACCTCATTCATCAGCAAATGTTTGCTGAGTAGCCTTCAAAGCAGCAGGCACTATTCTAGATTCAGAAGTCAACCAAATAGATAAGTTTCTGCTCTACATGCTCATAAAAGAGCAAATGCTAAAGTGATACAAATTGGGTGGAAACAATACTATGTAGTTTACTAACATAGACTGGGAGACTAGGAAAGACCACTAAGGAAAGATCATTTGAGTTGAGACTTGCAAGAAATTTCCAGCCATATGAGACTTCAATACAAAACACTTCAGGGGGAAAAAGGGGAAAGAGTTGCAGCATTTCTTCAGTTGACTATCAAGTTTGAAATGTTAGAAGAACAGAAAAAATGCTAGTGGCAGCAAGGCTGAATCAAAGTCAGAGATGAGGTGCTAAGACATAAGAACTAAATCACAAAGAATCGTGAGATCTGTTTGTTGTGGCTTTAACAAGACTATTTTGAATGGAACTGACTTTGATTGACATTTTAAAAGATTGTGTAGACTGTTCTCTGTGTACTGGACAGTCAAGAGCAAGGCACCCAGATTAAAGCACAGACAGTGATGTATGATGAGTAAGAAAACAGCATGGACACATGACATAATAGAGATGTAGATAATAGATAAATTTATGGTATATTTTAAATGTCATCTCTCATAAATTGTTGGCTAATTAAATATCCATAAAAAATAGAAGAAAAATCAAAGCTATCAGTGATTCTAAATATCTTTTTGTCGTTCACTAGTTGAATAATTCAGATGGGAGTAAGGATGAGAGAGAAGGTATTTGTATAAGCAACTTTCATATTTGGTAAGGTCTTTATCCAGATGGCAAAATCATTGGGAGAAAAAGGTGTATTGTGCAGGAGAAAAAAAAACAGTGTGTTGTGAGATGTTTTGGACATCATGAGTATGAGAAGCTTACTAGTCATAACAGTACAAATGGCTGGAGGCAATTCAAGCACCCTATGAGCAACAAGAAAGCCATACATGACCATGTAATCACAGTAATGGGTGGTTTTAATCAGCTCTTTCCTATCAGAATTGTACATAAATTTCTGTGTGCATCATTTAGAGGAGTCTAGAGACCAGGCATGGCTGTACATGCCTATATATTGAGCATATGGAAGGAGAAGGCCATCTTGGCTACATAACAAAACCCTATCTCAATATATACATACATTATAGATAGATAGATAGATAGATAGATAGATAGATAGATAGATAGATAGATACATACATACATACATACATACATACATACATACATACATCCCTGAAGATTCACATTTGGTAGGATTTCAGGGATAATTGTGCTGTTTAAACATATAAAATGTGGTGTCCACATCTGGAATACAAACATTCAAGCTTTCATGCACACATGAGTGAGAATTTGTAGAAACTATATGCAAATATGCATAAGCAAATTAATAAAGACATTATTTTCCAATGATTAAAAGATAGGAGCAATTTTTTGAATGATTTTTTTCTTATATATTAGCATCATCAGTTAGGTTAGAGAAAATACTTTTTCTCACTGTTGATTAAACAGTAATACCTTCCTTTACCTGAAAGTTAAACTATTTTATTTATAGTCAACTCCTAAATCCAATTTTGTAACAATATCATTTTATCTATAAAACACACATATTAACAATAGAGGATAATGTGACAATATGGTTTTACTAAAGAAGACACAATCGCCCATATTTTTCCAACTAACATTAATTTTTACTATTATTAAATGTGATTGGAAATCACTAGAGGATCTCCTTTACTGTTGCAAACATGTTGAAGAAAACGAATATTGTGTTTTTTCTAGGCTTGCTAGTATTGTTATTATCTTACTGGCATCAATATCATCTAAAAAGAGAAATAATTCTGTGGTTCCTATCTTTGGCTTCACCAAGCATGACACTGCCACATCAATTTGCTTCAATATCATGGATGCTAAGGAACAATATCATTCCTTTTGTCTCGGGAAAGTCAGCTTTGATAATCTGCCTCAGATTTCCCCATATTTGCATTATCCATGGGAAATTTTCAAGACATTAACATTTAGGATCTAGACAATTCTACTTAGTAACACAGATCATTATCTCCTTCCTCCCTTGAAAATTAAAATTCTATTTTATTTGCTTTGTTATTTGTTTTGTGGACCTCTGATTCATGCGTTAGTGATTTTTTTTAATGAATTGTAAACACAGGCAAGAAAAGCTTTGGAACCAAAATAACTAGGGGCTCTTTGCAGCAAAATTCCAATAGGAAAGTGGAATTTCTGCTCACAAAAAATATTTCACTCATTGCCCTGACAGATGAACTGGGGAGCGAACATACAGAAAACATTAGTAGCCTTCTGTAGAAATTTTGATTATATTGTGAGCTTTTCACCTTGATTTGATCTTTATGATAGATATCATGAATTTACTAGATATTATTATGCAAATGAGATATTCATATTCCACTTGAAATAACAGAACACAGTTCAAAAACATGCATATATGCAGGTCAACAATAATGCAACTATTTCTTCCTCTTTAGCTAGACTTTGGTTTGTTTTTTACAGAAATTTCCCTTGGCCTCAACTTGGAGCTTTGATCATGCCTGTCAATTCTGGGGCATGACAAGTGACATAAATACAAAATGTTCAATTGAAATTTTTTTCTTTAAATTAATCATTTATGTATCATTTGTATGTGATTGACTAAAAAATGATAGAGATTAAATAAAATGCAATTTTTCTTGGTAAAAACTCAAATTTCAATGAAAATGGTATAACATCCATACTTCTATATGTGATGTTTTATTTGTCTGTTAAAAATTTCAATTATTTGATGTCCAGTTTCTATGTTACTGCAATGAAATAGAAAAGGATTTAATATTACAGTATGATAGAATGTTAATTATGAAACAGTAAATCTATCAATCATTAAGTTTGTTAAATATTGAAAGGAATTTTCCAGGAAAGCTGTAGAATAATTTCTTTGGAATATATAGTGGATAGAATCAATTGTGTAGTTTGACATGAATAAAAAATAAGCTCGCTAATTCCCCAGGGTTCTGCACATATCCAGATACAGATTTTTGATAGTGTTAATAAATATGTCCTCAGAAATGTTGAAAAAGTGTTAGACAACTGAAAGAAAAGACTAGAAACTAGACAATGATATTATTGAATTGTATTCTTTAAATCATTCATTGAATGGTGTGTGAAGTATCCACTTGAATGGGAGTGACCTGGAATAAAATTTAAAGCAGAAAAAATTAAATGTGGAATCTTGAAATTTATATTTGCAAATGTTGCCATCCCCCCATATATTTATTTCTTGGGAAGTAGGATAGAATGATGCATTAAGCTGAAAATTTCAATGAGGTTCTGAGTCTACAGTCCATTCTATAAAACCAAAAAGAACATGTGTATATTTCATCATTTATAAAAGAATGATTGCTATAATTTATCTATAGGCTAACTTTTACTAAATGACCTAAACTAAGTTTATTAAGTATACTAAACATTTTTAGTATAAGATTCTTATAAATACTAACAAAATAAAGTAAATTTAAAAAATTTTTGACATATAATTTTTTTATTGGTAAGGCTTTCTTGATTTAACTCTAGACAGATTTATTCTTTTTTTTTTTTTTTTTTTTGGTTTTTCGAGACAGGGTTTCTCTGCATAGCTTTGCGCCTTTCCTGGAGCTCACTTGGTAGCCCAGGCTGGCCTCGAACTCACAGAGATCCGCCTGGCTCTGCCTCCCGAGTGCTGGGATTAAAGGCGTGCGCCACCACCTCCCGGCTGACAGATTTATTCTTGATAGTTGTTAATCCTGATGGGAATTACCTAATTTCAGTCCTTCACAAAGGTTCCCAACATTGGAAGAAGATATTGACTAATTTGTTACATAATTTTCATCAAATAAAATTAATGTACTCTTTTTTTAGTCTGGTCTCTGATACAATATATTTACAAAGGTATAGTTTTATCTTTAATCCAAAAAGTCATTTACTTAATGAGGGAACCTAACTTCCACCAATATCAGAAGGAATTTAGGACATTTAATAGACAATAGATATTTTAAGACAACAGTATAATTTAATCATACTCATTATTCAAGAGATATAAATAATTATATTTGTGGGGGGAAAGCCTTCAAATAAAAAAGTACTAAAAAGGGCATTTAAAATGAAAATCATGTGTACGTAAAGTTTCTTTACTATGACAGTCTGGAAAAAATTGAAATGCTTTTCAATCATAATAAATGAGCTGAGTTCTAGATTGCAGATACTATAAGATGAAGTTAGCTATTCTAGAATCCCTTGTGTTTTCCTCACTATAGCTCATAGCTAAAATTGGCAAAGTACCTTCCTTCAACTACTGTAGAAGCACTCACTTCTTATCTATTTTTATTACCCCATTTACAAAAATCATCACAGGTTAGGACCTGCTGAGTTTGTATTCTTTTCAATTCTTTTGCCAAGAGTTACTCAGCAAGAGGAGATTGGAAATGTCCTGGCCTATTCTCTCAGAAATGTGGTGCCATCGCGTATCTTCTCTCTATAATCTCAGGCAAGACAGTGTGGCAGTACACAGAAGGGTCACTAGCAAAGAAGACCCCAGTGCGTTGGCAGCATTTGTCAACAAAAACAGGCACAACAGTGGTCCATGTAACCCTAGCTCCTGCGGTTGTGCCTGGGTAAATATTAACGTCGTGAATGACTGCTGAAGTCATTGCCCACTCAACCTCTCCTACCCATGAGAGTGAGAGTCACGGCTGCTCCCTCATCTCTCCTCCTCCCCCCACTCGGCTTCTTTTTCTCTCATTCCCCCTCTACCTCCTCACTTGCTCCTCTCCTGAACCTGCTTCTGCCCCTCCTATCTCTTATTACTTCTGTAATTATTATGCATAAAAATTGTGAATGAGGCCAAGGCTTCTTAAATTTCCTTTTCCCCAGGATATATGTCATTCATGTGTGATCATGTAAGTTATATTGATTTATATTCTTAGAAAAACTTGGTTTCATGTAAATTTTATTTTCATTATTGACTAAATAGAGGAGAAATTTTAGGATGTTTGAGGTGAAAATGTACAAGGGTATGAAGTATGCACAGCAGATTTTTTTATTTCATTTTTATAGCATCAGTTTTAGTCCAGTATTCAACAACCCATTATGAAAACTGTCCATGTATTGTAAAGAATTTACTTAATTTTAACTGGTATATTCTGCAGTATATTTAAATTATTTTTGAAGCTTTTTATTCTAAAACCAAATGATAATTTTAGTATTTGCACAATCATCCTTAAACAGCTCTGGTTTTGAAACCTAAGTAAATAGACAGTTGTATTACAAAAAGAAATAAACTCAAGAGTCTAAACTGTGGCAAAAGCGGTGAGACTTTGAACAAATGCAACTCCTGCTGTAAGGTTCTGGTACATGTACCTGATGAAGTACTTTTCTTTACAAGACCCATCCATTTTCTGAGGGCACTGCATAATCCATGTTGCAAGGCTCCCATTTGAGATTTCAAATGTCTATGTAGTGTATTTGGGATGTATTTAAGCTCCATCTACACATTTTATAGCATAAAGTTCCTACTAGTAGAAACAGAAATGTAAGGAGATATTTAAATAGAAATATAAAGAGCTACCATTTATTAGATATTACATACACCCCTGTAGGCATTGTATTCCCATTCATGAACAGAGTAACTGAAGTCTGAGTGTAAAAGAATAACCTGTCCAAGGTGGCATACTAGTGTGCAAGTAGAAGAACTTAGTTATAAGTCTGTCTGTTCAAAAGTCCTTTCATGTAACTGCCAAAGTAAAGTGTTGATGATACAAATAGGGACATTTACTTTACTTCCAGTGAACCATGAATGCTCCCTTAAATTCCAGAATTCATTGGAGGGGCATATGCCTTTAAAGCTTTGAAGAAGAAAAATAATGTACTATTGGCACAACTAAGATGAACAAAATTGTAATCCTGTTACGATAAATCCATCCAAGCTAGGCAAATGTCTCCCACATTTGGAGGAATCCAGTCTTATAGAGATTAATTCAAGAGAGACTAAACGATTCTCCTTTGCTTTACTGTTGGGTACAGCAAAGAGACACACAAAAGATCTATATGATGTTTACATAAAAAGTTTTCCTGTATACCCAGTAATATATTTTCACTAAATAAGCATTCATAGCTATGGGGTGATAGTTACTCCATGAGCTATTTCTTCAATTAAAACATTAGCATTCTTAACACATGTGGATGTACTTTGTAAAATAAACACCACAATGAAAAGATAAAATGACTCAATAATTGATTGGTAAACACCATGTAACTATGGAATAATTATATGTTCTGTGAATTATATAGTACTTAGAGTTGACATTATTTAGGAAACATAAGAAATGAACTTGTAATTTGTACTTATCAGATTTCGATTCCCTAACAACCAGTTAAATATACTATTATTATGTAAAAGTATCCTATCATTAAATACCTGGTCAGTAACAATCATGCAATTAGTTAACATGCATCATACTACAAAATGCAATTATGATGTCATCAGGACACCGAGAAACGCTTTATGAATTTGATGCATTCAGGAAGAAAGAAGAAAACATTTAAATTGTAATCATGTATGCAGGTATCCACTAAGGGCTCCCATGGTTATAAGAAGGAGCTTGGCTGGCTCTTTTACCTTGCTCAGGTGTTTTTCAACTTTGGCATAGGCTTGTCACAAATGTCTTTTGGGGTCTTCTTGTCTTGGGATCTCTACCATAAGCTATGTCACCAAACACCCATTACCATGCAGTTGCTAATACCAAGATCTCACTTCTCTCTCTCTCTGCCAAGAAAATAGCAGACCTTGTTTCTCTTCATTAGAGAAGATCCCTTGTTGATTAATAATTGTCTGTCTTTGTTAGCGAATACCTCCTTTCAGCACTGTAACTACGGTGTGCGGTGCTTGGTAGACACACAACTCCCTGGACATTGGTTGAGGAAGGAACATGTTAGTAGTACATTTCATGTGAAAGTCACTTTTGTAGGTCTTGGGAAGGCTGATTCTCTTTCCATGGATCTTGTATGCCAGGACGCTGGGTTAACCAGCCACATATTTTTTCAAAGTGGAATTAAAACTCTTGGGATGAAGAAGTAATCTCCATACTTGATTCAAGCCTGCGTCGGTTCTACCATTTTCTGTTAACAATTCTACCTTACAAGAACATACCTTGAATTGTTTACAACTGTTTCTGACCACCCACATTTATTTCCACAGACAACAACGTTAATTGGTCTTTTGAAGACTGCACGTCTCCTTCGACTCGTGCGCGTAGCCAGGAAACTGGATCGATACTCAGAATACGGCGCCGCTGTTCTAATGCTCTTAATGTGCATATTTGCCCTGATTGCCCACTGGCTGGCTTGCATCTGGTATGCGATTGGGAATGTAGAGAGGCCCTATCTGACTGACAAAATTGGATGGTTGGATTCCTTAGGACAACAAATTGGGAAACGTTACAATGACAGTGACTCAAGTTCTGGACCGTCCATTAAAGACAAATACGTCACGGCACTTTATTTTACCTTCAGCAGTTTAACCAGTGTAGGATTTGGAAATGTGTCTCCTAACACCAATTCGGAGAAAATCTTTTCCATTTGTGTCATGTTGATTGGCTGTAAGTAGATTTCTTTTTTGCTATCTGTTAGGATAAAGTAATAGCACAAAATTGGATACTCTAGAACATAGAGAATAAGGCAAAATATGGAAACTGTGGCGATAGTGAATTGCACATGTGGGCACCATATTCTATAAAGTATGGTTTTTCTTAGTTAAGAAACAAAAATTCTTTTCCTATTCTTCTCTTAGAACTAGCTTTACTGTCGATATAAAATAAACTCATCCCTTGGTGACCCCAGGGTTAGTTCAGGGCCTCCCAAACCTGTTTGCATCTGAGTTTCCTCTTCAAGTCCATAATATAAAGTAGTATCACACTGAGGGTTCCATAGATGGCTCAGTGGTTAAGAATGCTTGCTACTCTTGCATAGGGACCGTGTTCTGTTCTTAGCACCCACAATTTCCTCTAATTCTAGTTCCAGTCCGATGCCCTCTCCTGGCCTCTGAAAATGCAAGGCATTCACATAGTACAAATGAATACATATAGGCACTCACATGTAAACATAACAGTAAATAACATTTGAAAAATTAATTTTAAAAATAGTATTGCAAAATTGCCTTTAACCTAAAAATATCTTCATGTGTATATTAAATCACTTCTAGACTACTTATATTTCCTAACACAGCATAAATGTTGCATAAAGCTCACAAAGAAGAATGAGAAAAATGTCTGGCCATGTACAAGACAGGCATAATTTTTAAAAATATCTTGTGTTCATGGTTGGTTGAATGTAAATGCAGAAGTCACCATTCTCTACATTCAATGAGGCTTCTTTTTTTACTCTAGAATATCATGGATATAAAACTGGACTGATATGGTTACTCAGATTGCAGATCTGCAAAATTACAATTCATTCATTGTTATATAAAAATGATTGTAATTTACTACTAATAGCTATTTTCTGTTACAAGCCGAGATCAAGTTAAGTTGGAAAACAGAATTCTAGACATAAATCTTTCTCTCATGCATATAAAACTATTACAATTATACCTACAATCAATTTCTGCTCTTATTGATTTTAAATTGCTTTTCTTTTGCTATTTTTCTAAGGCTTGTTCTTACCTTCTACTCTGTAATGGCTTTAAACAAGGGGCATAATTTATCGCATCAATTATTTAGAATCAAAAATTTTATGGTAAGATGGAGCTGACTTAATAAATTTTTGAAATTACCTTGTAAAGAACCTAGTGATAACCCGGATGATAGCTGACAGCAATAACAACTCAGAAAGGAGCATTCCCCTTGGATGGTGTAAAAAGTTGAAAACAGATCTTGACAATTTATTTTCATATGTCATCATATTAGTTACTGAAATGTGGCTAGACAAGACCTATTTATGAAACTTAAATGAGTTTTCTAAGTAACCTAGTCTGCCTAAAATATAGTTTTTATTTCAATAACGTTTTCATAAGGAAATACATTTTTTAAAACCCTCAAGATCTTCCAATTCCATCGCCCTCTTGGCTATAAACACAGAAGTCACATTGCATGGAGAAGGCAATGGAACTGGCACCTATTAAAGAATAGAAATACACATTCAAGGCACTTTTAATCTGATTTATAACCGCAAAGGGCTGAGGAGCTGATTCAGTCAGTAAAAGTTTTTTACTTTGTAAGCTAAACAGGGCCTCAGCACCCACATAGAAGCCCAGTGCAGCCAGGCACACCTGTAATCCCGGGTCTAGCAGAGCAGAGACAGGAGGATCCTTAAGACTTGCTGGCAAGCCTGTGGGTTTGTTGAGCTCCAGGTTCAGTGAGTGACATGACAGATATGGTGGAATAGCCAGTGAGATAGCTCAGCAAGGAAAGGCACTGACTGCCAAGCCTGACAACCCAGTTTAATTTCTAGACATGATGGAAGGGAAACACTGGCACCTACAAGTTGCCCTCTTACCACACACAAGCCATGGGCTACAGATACACACACACACACACACACACACACACACACACACACATGAACACAAAAACACACATGCACACTTGCATACATATATATTATATGGTGGAAAGTGATTGAGGAAAACATCAATCATCAATTTCTGGCCTCCAGAATACATACACACACACACATACACATCACACATACACATATACATACACATCACACACATACACACACACTCAAAACAACAGCAAAAGAATCTATCAGAATATATTTCACAGTTATTAAAAACTTTAGTTGCATTAATATCAAACAAGGTCAAGAAAAAAGTATCTGTTCTTGATTAAATATTTATATTTATGAAATAAATTTGAATATATCTATTTAAGAAAAGAGTACCTACCTATATTTAGAAACAGTAATTCAAGGAACTTACAAAAATTACAACAGTTATCCTGTTCACTGCTTAGAAATCCTCAGCACTATCATACTTATTATGTGAGTCGTTTTATTGAAAACAAATGCTAACTCTTATTTAGACTACACACAGTAGCTGAGTCAGAGGAACAGGGAACAGGAACAGAGACAGTTTCTCTTGCCTGGTTCCCCCCTCTCCTTCTTTTTCATTTCCTTTGTCCCCTTTCCTCTTTTGCTTTACTTCCCTCCTTCCTTCTTTTGGTCTCTCCTTGCTTGTTCCTTATCTTTTCATTCTTTTTATAAATATAACACTTGGTTAACATTACTGATGCTTTGAAAAGAATCTGTGATTTCTACAGACAAATTTGATCTATTCAAATTGGATAGAAGAAAAACTCAATTCTCATTTTACATACATCATTTATTCAAATAGAAGACTCATTTTCACAAGCCTTGGCCAAAATGAGATATGCAAAGCTTGATGTCACACAGAAAACACTTCTAAGCATTCCTTGAGAGTTCTCCACAATCTATGATGTCATTAATAAGAGGAAAGGTAAAATTAAGACTTGAAACACAACAATTATAGCAATGCTTGTGAAATATTCTTAGCCTTTAGGCATAATGACGTATTTGCTCCTAATATATATTAGGTGGAATTTTATGCAAAAATTAGTTGACTCTTGTTATTTGAAATAGTCACACTCTAAGCAAGATATATCATACCTAGAAAGCGTCCTGGTTTCAACACAAAATTAAAATGCAAAGCCAACATTTTAATATAGAATATCACCTGTGTGTTTATTATAACCATAAGTAGTATCAGGTTGAAGTTTAAGCTTCCTTAAATTATTTATTATAAAAGAAAAAAATGAATCCACATTGTGGACTAAGGGGAACTTATATGCATATTATAGCATCATCATGCAAGAGAAGTAAAGAGGTCTAACCTCTGTAAGGGGAGAAGAAGGTTAGTGCACTTCCATTCCCTGCGCTCAGAGATGATAGCAGGAAGAACAAAAACTGGAGAGCAGCATGGGCTATGTAAGAAGGGCCTGTTCAACATGGTCTTAGTAAACACAAATAACTGCAGATCTGTAGACAGTTTTAAAGCTGCCATTTTCACTGAATTCCTGATTATATACACAGAACAATGATTGGATAAATTCGTTTTAGTATTGTGCATAATTAAAAAATGAAAGAACACTGAATAAATGTGAATATGGGTATGTTCATGCACTTGTATCCACATTTCTAATTTATAGATAACTTTAAGATGTTAACATTTCAGAAATAGGACGTTTGAGTTTAACCTTTTAAAAACACATAAACTAGTAAAGTATGAGTGATTGTCCTCCAGTTCAGACCTGCTTGACAGAGAACTTGGGAGACTTTCTTGGTTTTATTTAATGCATCAGCCACTGGAGTTCTACTTCTAGCCATGATGGCATAATTGAAACGGGTGACCCTCAGTCAAACAAACAGAAAACAAAGCAAGATGTATGAAGTCATTGTTTTCAGACACAGAAAATAAGCAGAGAATTGTGATATCCGAGAGAAAAACAAAAAACAGGATGGCCCCATGCTACCTATCTGAGGACATGAGGACAGGGCAAGCTGTGAAGGGAGAATACCCTAAGCATGTACAACAGTCACACCCAGCTAAGAAAGGAAGATCAGAATACCTGGAGAGTAAGATATTGGAATCTATAGTACGGGGTGGGGGGGGGCAGCTATGATAAAGAAAAGCTCAGAGAACTTCATGAGTAAGAGCTTGAACCTACTGATCTCTTCTAAGACACAAATACATGAAATCATAGCCCTTGGGCCTAATAAAGAGCCACACAAGCACAAGCTGAACTATTCTCAGAGCTCACACAGGCATGAGACACGTTAACATTCAAACAATCGGATTAGAAAACCTTGCTGAATATCCAGGTTGTTCAGTAGAAATCTTAGTAAAATAAAGCTGTAGAACCAGAACTGATATAGCCCTAACAAAGCTTTTATAAGCAAGTCTGTAACCAGACCTTTGGGCTACAAGGGCCATGGCTCAGCAGTAGAGCACTTACATAGCACAAAAATCAGCCTGGTCTTCAAGCACTCCATCTACAAGAACACAAGAACAGCACCCGACTTGAACAAGTATTTTCAACAAGACAATGAAGCACGGGAAACAAAAACAAATTAGACACCCAAGATTACATCAAATGAAAAGTCAAAGAAAACAATCTAGTAAAGATTAATCTACAAAGTGGGAGGAAAGATGTATAAACTATACATATGAAAAGGGTTTACTTACTATCTAGAACATAGGAGGAACTCTAAGATCTCAGAGACAAAAGTCAATACAATTTAAAAGGAACAATAGGCTTTAGTGGACATTTATCAAAAGATGACATACAAATGATCAAGTTCAGCAAAGTGTTCAGTATCTCTAATCCCCATAGAAACATTATATCTAGAGTATCTCATTCCATTCTAGCAAGAACAGCCATTGTCACAAATACCAAAAATAAATGCTACAAGAAAAAAAAAAAAAACCTTAACACTGTTGATGGGAACATAAACTAATACAGCTAATACAGGAAAAAATAAAAATAAAACTACAGTATGGTGCTATAGAAATTTCATTACTGGGTTTATATGCAACAAAAATGAAATCAGTCAGAAAGATCTTTACTTCAACACAATTCAT